GGTCTTGGGGTTAATGCTTACCAAGTCAGATAAAAAAAAACAAACTTTGGCAACCAGGGTGACCCAGCCTAAATTGGGCCCCAAGCAAAGTCCGAAGAAGTTGACAACATTACCCATCACCCATTGACCACATCACCGACTGACCACATCACCCACTGACCACATCACCCATTGACCACATCACCCATTGACCACATCACCTACTGACCACATCACCTACTGACCACATCACCCATTGACCACATCACCTACTGACCACATCACCTACTGACCACATCACCCATTGACCACATCACCGACTGACCACATCACCGACTGACCACATCACCGACTGACCACATCACCCATTGACCACATCACCTACTGACCACATCACCCATTGACCACATCACCGACTGACCACATCACCGACTGACCACATCACCCATTGAGGGCTGAATGGGCTACACAAATATGAGGCTAGCATTTTAGCTTGAAAGAAGCTAATGAAAGCAGATCAATTTATACAGCTATATATAAAACAAGACAAGATCTGTTCTTTGGTTCTGTGATGAAGCAGGAGGCTTTAGAGAATATTGTGACGACTTGGAAGATCAATGGCAGAAGATGGAGTGACAGACCAAGATAGATGATGACAGATGGAGTGACAGACCAAGATAGATGATGATAGATGGAGTGCAATGGTGGCACAGAGGTATATTATCGTTGGCAGTGATCCAGAGATCTGTGGAGATGCATGAATGCCTACGCTAGTCGGCAGGGCACGCAATGATGATGATGAGCATAATATGCCTGGTATGCCACTAACATGAATGTTGAATTAAGAATCGACATCACAGCACTCTGGACATCCCCATAAGCGCTCTATCCCCATATTCAGCAGCTAGCAAAGAGTTCCACTTCTGATGGTACCAGTAACTAACTGTCTGATGGTATATCCAAATCGTCCTTCCGCTGAGTGTTGAGCGTCGGCCAGATCCCCTAGTAACTCCCCACAGCCCCATTCTCTTCAGACCTTAATGATCTGTTTTTGTGCCTCCACACTGTTTATTCGCTCCCAAAGAGGCCTCACAACATCTAGCTTGTCATACATTAATTCACCAAGTGGTGCAGAACTGGCCAGTCTATCTGCCTGCTCATTTCCCAAAACACCAGCATCACCTGTAAAAAATATTCAAAGAACGGTAACTACCCAGGACCTCTGAAGTGATGCTTGCCACTCTGCACAGAGCATGCCTGTCTCCAGCTTTCTCAACATACTCTTGAGTCAGTGACAACAATTAGCATGAAAAAGATCCTTAAAACAAATGTTGCCACTGACAGGAGTGAAAAGAAAACACAGTTCACTAATTTACAAACAGCAGTTGTTTAACACATGACAAATTGTATAAAATGTAGTCATCAACATTTCTACAATCAAATTAACTTAAGTTTACATAGCGGTTGTACTAAAGTCTTAATAGTCAAATGTCTGATGTTCTCTGATCAGGTTCAAACCCTGGATGAGAGAAATTATTGTAACCATTGCACTCAGCGACACTGGGAGGGGGTGGGGTGGAAATGTTTGAGGCACCACTAATATTGTAAGTGGGGAGCTTATAATTGCTGTTTACTGATTGGTTGTTGTGGCTGGGTGGGTTGTGACCAGAATGCATCAAGCCTGGCTTGGACATCATATTGCCACTAGCAACACCTCCGGCATTCATGTTCAGTGTGGACGATGCACTGTTTGATGAGGAACTGGCTGCGGACCCTGCAGGTGATGTTTTACTGGGACCATTTAAAGCTGTGACTCCAGGCACCAGGGCATTGGCTTGTTGTTGAGCAGTATTTCTGGACATCTGTCCTTGACCAGACTGAAGGCTAAGAACAGCAGGCTGTCCACCTGGATACTGGATATACTGGTTTCCTTGCTGTCCATTGTAGGGTCCACTCTTGTACGGCTGAGGCTGATGCTGGACTCCTCCATTGTATGCTGAAGGTGGCAAGGCGCCTCCATGGCTGTTGTAAGGCATGAAGTGGGGAGAAAATATAGGCTGCGCAGGACTAGGATCAGATGTGTTGCTACTGCCAGTCAGTCCCGTGACTGCTGTTGTATTGCTGGGTCCAGTACTGCTGTGGTGTGAAGGCTGAGACTGTGTGCTCTGATGGGTTGAACTAGAATGACCAGACTGGCTCTGAGAAACTGACCATGGAGCAGAGGGTGTGATCTCATTGTTCCATGAACGAAGACGTGCATGAGTCTCTCTGAAAGCTGGCCGGCGGGAAGGCATTTCATGCCAACATTCCACCATGAGGCCATATATCCTGGCCGGACATTCTTCAGGACAAGCCAGAATTTGCCTTGAGCGAATCATTTCAATGACTTCTTGATTAGAAAAGCCATAATAAGGCTGCAGCCCATAGCTGAATATCTCCCAAAGCACAACTCCAAATGCCCAAACATCACTATCTGTGGTAAACTTCCCATACAGAACAGCTTCTGGAGGCATCCAGCGAACAGGCAACAAAGACTTACTTTGTACACGGTAATAGTCTGAAGAGTAGATATCACGAGATAACCCAAAGTCTGAAATCTTCACAGTTAGTCCTTCGCCGACAAGGATATTCCTGGCTGCCAGATCCCTGTGGACATAATGATGGCTGGCCAGGTACTCCATGCCAGCTGCCACCTGGGTGGATATATGAAGCATTTCGGAGTACTCCAGAATATGGCTTCCACCAGCTCCACTCTCGTCGTCAGTGGATGTGACATCAGAGTGAGGGGAGTGGGACAGCAAGTACTCATGGAGGTCTCCTAGAGCCATGTACTCAAACAGCATGCACATCGGCTCCTGGTTCATGCACACCCCCAGCAGGCAAACAATGTTTGGGTGATGCAGCTCGGACATCAGATCAACCTGTCAGTAGGGATACAAACATGAAATAGATGACAATGTGTAAAGATGTACACATAGAACAGGGCTATTCAACTAAGTACACAGGGGCCAGAAATTTGAAAAAAAAAAGGATAGTCAGGGGCCAGAAGCCCGAGCTCCAGCACAGAAATACCACTAATATAATTCATTTGGCAATGATTTGCGGGCCACTTGCTAGGCCTCCGCGGGCCATATTTGGACCGCGGGCCGCCAGTTAAATAGCCCTGACATAGAATGAACAGATTATTAAAACAGAAAGTAGAAAGAGTCAGCTATACAGAACATTGTCACAAGTGACACAATGGATGTACAGTTGAGAAAGCCATCCTCAGCACAAATGTACACATACACAACAATATCCTTACAAACACACCTACAGGGTCTCCTCGACTGACAAACAAGTTCACTTCCAACTAACAAGATAGCAAGTCGAATTTATATTTATCAACACTATTCTCATTGAAAGTGCAGTTCCAGACAGTCTGCCATACACGGTTGATCAAACAGACTCTTATGTCTAGACTCTGCATCAGTTCTGGGTACTTTTCTTGTTTTTACGCTACCAATGTAGTTATCTTTTTTTATGGACTTAAAAAACACACTTTTTGGGGGGGGGGGGGGGGGGGGGGAGGGGCGTAAGTATGGATGGTCATATGTCACATAAGTCTTTAGTAAAGGAGAAAGTGTACATTAAAAATGCTAAAACAAAATTATCACTTGTCTGTAAAATAATAACCTTAAAAGGAAGTATATGTTTCCACTCTTTCTTCCATCGCTCAAAAGGGAGAAAAACAATATGCACGATATCTCTCACTGATGCACACTTTATGCAATTAGTATAATTTGTTTTGGGTAATCTTAACTGTAGCTGTATGTGTTTCATTTGATTTTTGGTTTTGTTTGCTAATAGGCTTTCTTGATGCAAGAGCTGTCCTTTCAAACTAATGACACAACAAATTGAAAACCTAAATCAATGAGTTATTTTATAGTCAGAGTTATATAAAATGAACTGACAGAAATTTTTGAATTAAAGAAAATTACATTTATATGTTGGAATGTGAGAAAGTGATGGAAATATGTCGATATTTGTTTATTAACAAAAAAGACCAATTAATATTTAAATAGCTTTTAAAAAGAATGCTTTTAAAGCTGTCTTTCCCTTTTTCATTTGCCTTTAAAGGAGCAGCCGGCAGGTTGTGTTGTGGTTTACAGCTAGAATGCGACGTCTGCACCTTTAGGGCCCAACATATCGGATTTAAGCAAGTCCTTAAGTAGTCAGCTGTCATGACATGTTTGTTAAGGGGCAGTCACTCTATTCTTTTGTTGCTCAAAACTAGGGCCCTGGAACCAACTTATGAGTTAAAGATATAACCAGGATACAACCAAGCAACTGATCTGGTAACAATGAGGGCAGTGAGTATCAGCCTACATATGCGAAAGCTTGGAAATATAAGCTTCATTACAATTTTTTAAAATCCCCTTCGAGGATTACATCTTGTTAAGATTAACACTTCTTCTTTTTTATGTGCATTGGCTGTTACCCCGGGGGGAAATTTAGGTTGTTCATCCACTTCTGGACTTTACTCTTGTTCCAGAACTGTAGTTTTTATGTATACACATCTGTTTGATGGATCGGGCTTGTTTGTATTTAGAATGTTGGCTGCTGGCCTCTCAGGAAGATCCACTCCAACTTTAAGTAAACACCCCTAATTAGTCTCCTTTTATGGCATGCTCGTGGAGGAAAAGGGAAGGGGGGGGGGGAATGGGTCAATTCTTTTTTCCCACCAACATTGGGGCCTAACGATCCACATGGGGAATTATCACTTCAATAATGAAAACAGGTACAAACCCCATAAACCCAGTTCAACCATATATATGGGGATACTGGGATATAAGAGATCCTACGTTTGCTATGAAATCTGTCTCCAGAGGGAGGGTCTTGTTGGTCCTAATTACTGGCTGGAATATTTGAAAAAGTTTGTTTTCTACACTTATAAAATGATAAATAGTTACTCAGAGACATTTGTAATTCACATTAGAGTACTATACCTCTCTCCGAAAGTCATTCTGAACTTTAGGAACAGCATTTTCCTTTAAGGTTTTGATGGCAACCTTAGTGACCGAACTTTCTCGATGGAGTCCAGTGAGCTCCCCTTTGTAAACTTTGCCAAAAGCACCCTCTCCTAGTTCTTGTAGAAAGCGAATATTCTGCATGGGAAATTCCTTAGCTCTGGTGGTTGATTTAGGATTCAATGGACTAAGCTCTACTGGTTGTCCTTGTTTGTTGCCTGGCCTCGATGACCTGGGCAGTAAGAGAATAAACATTGTTGCTGTGTAAGTGATGATACCAAGTTAAGCATTTCATTATTGCTGGATAGGACCATGTTGAGAAAGCAGAATAATATCATTAAAATGATCTTACCCTTCCTTCCATGCAACAACAAAAGGCTACAACTAAAGGCTATCAAGTATCTTATGGCGTGGTCTTCCTCTATTTCTCTTTCCACAAATCTTTACAGTGGTCACAAATGTTCCAGCTACTTGAATGATTGAATCAATAACTGACATCCCTGCGTGCTCGGGTCATTCCCTCATGTCCCCCTCTTCAGTAGCCAGCAAAGAGTTGATATGCTAACAGTACCTGTTGCAACCTGATTAGACGTCCGCCTATGGTTTCCCAGCAGTTGAAAATCTTTTAGACCCTCTGCTCACCCCTAGCTGAGTTAAGTTTGTCGGTGAATGGATCCTTGCTCTGTTCTGTTGCCTTGTCCACTTGATCCCAGAGAGCCTTCACAACTTCCGCTTTATCATAACGGAGCTCATCACACAGAGGAGCGACAGCAGCCAGTCTATCAGCTTGCTCATTACCCCGACACCCCCAATATCCTTGACAGAAAATCTACAATATGCTCTTGATCAGAGTCGTATCAAGGGAAGCAACCCACTCTGCACGCAAAATGCGGTTTCTATTTTCCTAAGCATACTCTGAGAGTCCGTTACAATGACCACATGATGGCTATGCTGTTCTCAGGCCACTCCTAGCACCCGCGGTCCGGCACCCTTTATAATCTCGGTCCAGCTACTTTATTCTCATAACATGTGGACTGTCCCTTTTGTATATCTGTGACAGGCCATCTTCAGACCGCCCCTCTTTGGGGATAACTCATACATCTCTTTTGTATTATATTTACAGATGAGTTTTCTCCCTTTGACTGACTGCTATATCTATCTACAGCGGTTGGATTTGAGTGAGTCAAATTGAACCCCCCACTAGGACCGGACCTGCACACTCAACGGGTGACGCAAAGTGTAATGTGTCACTGTTCCGATCAGAATCCCACAGATACAAATCCCAGATACCCATTCAACCGCAAGGTTATACTGGGGTCGCTGAAGAAGACCATACAGGCTAGGGATTGGCTGTGGTTCATTTAAATAATTTAGCATGTGGACAGAGTTGAGAAACACATAGGAACGGGTAATGACAGCTGACATAATTCATAAAATGCACTATTGTTTGTTTAATTCGCAAAATAAGAAACACAACACAGACCTGATGTGTGACGTATGTGGAAGTAAAAAATAACGTATTTTAATTCTCTAGTAATTTCTATTGTCAGGTAGAAGTTCCGACACAACGACAGCTTTTGGGGTGTCTCGAGTGTGGTTGATATCCTTTAAAAATCTTATAGGGGAGTGCGGTAAGCCTCTCTTCTTTTTTTAGTCCTCTTTTACCGTCTCGGGCGTCGAGGGAGAAATGGGGTTCTCCTTCTGGCTCTTCTGGTCGCCTCGACCATAGACACGTCGTGGTGTTGCAGAGTTTCTATGATGTTATCTTTCCATCTTGTTCTCGATTTATCTTATCTTACCCCTTCTCATCTTTTGATGCATGCCTTTGTATGGTATTTATTCTTGGGCCGCACGTCCTTTTCATTTAATTGGCCAGTCTTTAACGTGGCTGCTATCGGGAATACGCCAGCTAAGTTATTTTTGAGTATGCCTGTGGTTTTGTTTGATTTTTTAAAATGCTGATGAAGGTTTTGCTTGATTTTTTAAAATGCCGATGAAGGTTTTATAGCCGCAACGTTCACTCTCTGTTTGTGTTTGTTGTATTGTGAAGCTCACTGGTCTACTTTTCGTTCGCTTGTATATATTTTCTTTGTATTTTATGGCCTCACAAGGCATTCTCTAAAACCATTTAATTTGGGGATTTTGACTGTACAGTAATTCAGAATTGGTTCTCTGCCAGCTTTTTTCTATAACGACTTCCTTCCTGATCTGATCTCTTCTGGTCACTCCAGTAGCGGTTCTAAGATAATCATTTCGGTGGTTACCAATTTTCTTTTCCTATACTGTGAATTTTGTGTGTGTATAAAATGACAAGCGAGCATGTAGGTTAAGTTCATGTGTTAGCTCTTCATTTGTGGAAGCATCAATGGATGGCGGTAACGGCCCTGATATGCCCCTGCTAGTCTCTGAGGGTCAGCTAGAACGCTAATGTATGGCTGTTTTGGGGGAGTCTGCTGGCGACATGCAGACGAATGTGCGGAGATAACGACACAGCAGTGGTGCCATACAGTGTCCGCCGAAGCTAACAGGGAAAGCTAGGCTGGTCGCCACATTTCCGAAAAAAGTTGGATGTATAAATACAAGGGCACAGATATCGTAACTCACAATCTCCTGTACCCCCCCCCCCCCCCCGCTTTAGCCGGTTATGTCGTAACTCTGCTGTAAAAAGACACCTCCCTCCCCCTTAAAAAAAAAAAAAAAACCGACGAACAAAGAAGAAGCAGCAGCAGCAAAAAAAAAAAAAAAAAAAAAAAAAAAAAAAAAAAAAAAAAAAAAAAAAAAAAAAAAAAAAAAAAAAAAAAAAACAAAAGAAGAAAAGGATGACATAAAACTACATATACAAGTTACCACAGCCGATATGCAACTAACCAATAAGCTAATAAATTAACTGACGAAATAATTAGCTAACAAATTAACTAACTAGCTAACAACCCAATTATTAACAATAATGAGGTTAATTTAAAAAACTGAATTCAACTAAAACAAAACAATTTTCTGTAAATAATTGTGAGGCTGAGATGGAGACTGACCTGTTGTTGTGTGACCTCTGACATATGCAAATGATCGCCAGGAGAATTCCCAGCGCCAAAGGGACGGTCAAGGACGGAATGAGGATGTACATCAGCTTGTTGTTATCGTCGCTGGACTCACCTAGCAACACAATAATTTACATATCAGAACAAATAATAACAACACCAACGAAAGCAACCTAATGTTCTGAGCACCAAGAACTGTCTTATAGTACGCTCTTGCGAGCGGTGATAGTGAGGGCATTCTGAGGAGGTGGCCAAATCATTTCAGTCTGTGTTTTAAAATTAATCTAATTACAGGTGTTGTTTCCACCATTCTAATGACATTTTTGTTTATCTTATGGTATCTTCTTATTATATTGACTGCTTTTCTCATTTCACACGTCTTTAGTATCGACAAAATCAAATGAAAAAAAGGGGGTGATGCTGTTCCACTTGTGCGCGAATCGGCAAGGATATAATTATATGTTTCTTTATGTTTCTTTGTCTTGAACTTAGATAAAACAAGTCTCCCTTCAGGTGTGTACAAGTTATTTGAACTGTAAATCACAACACATTGCCGGCATCATGAAATGGACAATGGTGAGATAATATGTCTAGGGCACGTAAAATGACGAGACAGCTCCTAGACAAATTAAAAGCGTACGCTGGACAAATTTACGACGCCAGACAACGCGACCGACCGCGAAGAAATGGATGAACTGTGTAAATCTTGATCTAAATGGCTTCAGGAGATTAAAAATAGGAGCAAGATCTACGAGGTTAGGAAGCAATATAAAGGGCTACTGTTTCGGTGAGTCAGAGAGGTGTTTGCTCCGCGTCTAATACAATTTTAATATCTCAGAACAAAAATTGTTTCCTCAAAACTAACTCTAGATGGGGGCTCTGTGGTCTCGAGGCAAGTTGTCCACCTCGAGTGCTAGAAGTTGCGGGTTTAATCCCCGGTAAGGGTTGGGATTTTTTTTTCAAGTGGACTTGAACTTCTAGTAATTCCCCCTGGTCTCTGGGTAGTGGGATCGGACGCTCGTGTGCTTTGTTGCGCATGTAAAAAATCTCTTGGCAGTTGGAAATCGAAAAGAGTAGCCTAACGGTGCTGCCCGGGCATAATTTAGAGTTTAAAAATCTACCGAAAGAATTTCAGGATCTTCGCTGGTGCTACAAAGCCTGTGCACTGTGCAAAGCTTCTTGGGACTTGAGTTAGAAAAAGAACGGAGCACTTATGAGTTAATATCCGCGTGCCATGATGTTGATCTGTTGTTCAAACCTCAACTCTAAATGTAATAACATTTACAACGAGATATGAACAGTTCTTCACTTCAGATCTTATAGGTCTAAGATTAATTCTTCGTCTTCTTCTCCTTCTTCTTCCGCTGCTACTGCAGCAGAAGAAGGAGTGGTAGAAGAAGAAGAAGAAGAAGAAGAAGAAGAAGAAGAAGAAGAAGAAGCAGAAGAAGCAGAAGTAGACGAAAAATTCATCTTAAACTTATAAGATCTGAAGTGGAGTACTGTTCAAGCTTTTTACATCTAGAGTTAATTTTGAGGAAACAATTTTTCTCTGAGCTAAGACTATTCAAATTGTATTGGACGCGGGGCGAACATCTCAGCTAAACTAACCCTCCCTGACTGATCCTCCTTCTGGGCTTGACATTAAAATGACGACTGGCACAGTGTGGCGATACACACTGAGGCTCCATCCGCACCTTACTGCCCAACATATTGAATTTCAGCAAAAGATTAAATAATTGCCTTTTAGGACTTGCTCGTTGGGGAGGGCCGTGCGAGTGTTCTCACAACCCCCCCCCCCACCCCCACCAAGGGAAGCGGGACCCACACAGAGAAAAATGAAGACTACAGATAAGTAGCTGTAGTGATTGTAGCTGTAGCAATTGTAGTAGTAGTAGTAGTAGTAGTAGTAGTAGTAGTAGTAGTAGTAGTAGTAGTAGTAGTAGTAGTAGTAGTAGTAGTAGTAGTAGTAGTAGTAGTAGTAGTAGTATTAGTAGCAGCAGTAGCAGAAGTAGAAGCAGCAGTAAAATGTTAATAGTAGTAGTAGCAGCTACTACAACAACAAGAAAGCCTTCATACATCAGTGTTAGAGACTCAGGCTGTTGTAGAGGCAGCAGAAATACTGAGCACATGTAGTTTTTTTTTCTTGTGCTGCGATCTCTTCATTATAATTCCTATAGTCAGTGTCTTTCCTTGTGCTGCGACCTCGTATCTTCATTATAA